TCAGGCTTGTGGAAGGTGGAAGGTCACCTTTGTGACAACTGCATTGCTAAATGTGGAAGTGGACCAGGCTCCTTAGCACCGCCCTGTATGTGGGACACGCTTTTGGCACACTGCTAAGTGCCCATGTCTAATGCTGGAAGAAACTTACATAGTGAGAAAGTCGAAACAGATTATCAAGAAAACCTGTTTCCTGTCTCTTGCTCCTCAGCTGGGTTCAGCTGCTGTTCCCACCCACAGCTTTGCTCTGCTTTGCTGTGTTCCTTTCAGCTTGCTCTTTGCTTTGGGCTGCCCAGGAGTGATGTAGTCTTTCAGGCTGCTTTTCTGACTCATCATAGTAACAAATACTGTTATTGAATTATGAACGCTTCACTATTTGATAATGACCTAAGTTTTTTGATATTTTATTTTAAAATTACAACTAAAATTTACTAATAATCCACACAACGATACCTCATGATTGTAACACTGACATTCTTGGATATGAAAGCAGCCCTGTTACCAAGAAGAAAAAGAAGATGGGAATTTCAATCCAGCTCCTTAATCCATTTCACTGATTTGAAATGTTTACTGGTAAAATGTGAGTTGTTTCTGGGCAGTGGTGGCACGTGCCTTTTAATTCCAGCACTTGGGAGGCACGGACAGGCTGATCTCAGTAAATTGAAGGCCAGCTTGGTCTACAAAGTGAGTTCCAGGACAGCCAGGACTGTTACATAGAGAAACCCTGCTTCGAACCCCAAAACAGACAAACTAACAAACAAAAAATTTGAGTTGTGCTATCTTAAAGATAAGAAAAGATGTATGCTTTTCTAGCTGCTGTGAAGAAAAACCACAGACAAAAAACAAGTTAAAAAGGGAGAGCTTTGTTTTGATACAGAGTTTAAGAAGGAACACAATCCAGTCTCTTCCCACACAGAAGCTAGGTTGACAGAGAAGTGGTAAGGTTGTGTCAGAAGACAGGAAACACACACACACATACACACACGCAGAGACAGAGAGAGACAGAGAGACAGAGAGAGAGAGAGAGAGAGAGAGAGAGAGAGAGAGAGAGAGAGGTGAAGACTTATGCCTGGTGCCTGAACAAGCCAGAAGGGAAGTCATATCCCCCTGGGGCTAGAGTTAAAGTCATTTGTTAGCCATAAGATGAATGCTGGGAAACAAACCTACGTCCACTAGCAGGGTATACTCTTAATGTCTGAGCTGTCTCTCCAGCCTCCCATTATGTTAGATCAGTATAACTTTGTATTGATTTTGAACGTATAGGATCTCTTAGTAGAGGTTAAAAGATCTGTGCCCATCGTGCATGGATGGTGTTTCTCGCATTCATGATGGGTCTTTCCAGCTCAGATAAGCATTTCTGGAAACAATCTTATAGATGTACCTGGAGTGTGTTTCCATGGTGATTCTAAATCCAGTCAAGCTAACAATAAGAATACATAATTGAAGACACAATCTTCCCTAATAGCATTCTAAAATAACTATAGAAATAAAAACAAAGACTTTAGAAATTCTAAGATGCCTTGGAATAATTAGCATAACATCTCAAATCCAGAATCTGGTCTTTTAACTCAACAATGCCTATAGTTTGATACAGCATTACTGAACCTTAAGTGTTGTGACATAGAAAGGGATTGATATTATGAAACGTATTTAAATTATCAGGCAAACTGATTTGGATTCCCAGTGGTCATTCATTACCTACACTCAGCTACATGGTTCCATTCTGTAAACATGTCTTCCTTAAGAATAAGCACTATTAGTTGGGTCTGGTAATCTGTGAGAGGGATTACATCCTCACTCTGTTTCTCCTTTAATTCTCTAATGGATTTTCATCTCCTTGATTCTCTACTTTTGCCTTCTACTGTATTTGGGTAGCAATCATTTAAGTTCTAAGGTCTAGGCTGTTGATCTCTGTCCTCTTTTGTCCCCTTTTCCAAATGATCTTTCTAATTAGTTCCTTAAAACTATTGCCTTCTTTTGTAACATTCAGTTAAAAAAAAGATCTAAGAACTCATATTATCTGATTATTAATTTATGAACAAATTAACCTTGACCTAAGAAAATTATATTCCTCTCTAGTGAGTATTTTTCCAGATAAAATTTTGCATGGAAAAAGTGGTTCTTTGAAACTTGATGTTAGGGTGCTACATAGATTTGTTTGTACAAATATTCTCCATTGCGTGGCTAAAGTGACATGGCATCTCTCTCTTTTCATTACCAAATATTATTCAAATAGCAATTGCTTTCCTTCTACAAAGAAAAACACACTTGGAGAAGGCAGTCCCAAATGTTTAATATCCACTAAGATGTATAAAATACACCGCACAATTTCAGGTCAAAACTTTAACAAATCACAAAAGCTCTAATTAGGCTATGATTGTGCTAATTAAAATTTAAGATCATAAAAGGGTACAGAGCAGATATTTGTACCATTTTGAATTATACAAGATAGTCTGAATTACTTAAGAAGTAAACCCAAAAGATAATGTTTCTTATTATCTCAGTGTGACCATGGGGAATGTGAAAAAAGTTTTTCTCTGTACCAAGGCCAGTGTGACTTTCAAATTGCCCCTGATGATGTCACAGTGGTCTGGTCCACATGTTGCAAGGTATAGGACAGGCACAAGCACACAGACACAGGCATGCAGGTTTGAAAGTGTCCTGAATCACTTCTGCTTACATTATCGGTGATGGAACCAGGAACATGACTTTGAAAGAAAGATATGGGACAAATGATTTTAAAACACCACTGCAAGGAGTCATTAGAGGACTGGCCAACTTGAAAGTTTGAAAAGGGTCCTAAAAGACACTGTCTCCCAATGCACATGCAGCATGTTGGTGGAATACTCGAACAGAGGGGCACACAGGTGCACAAATATAGCAAAGAGGTCTACACTGAGGATGTGAAAGGGACTGATTACCTGCAGTTAAGTCGTAGTAAACTTTTCCTTGTTTCAAATTTATACTGCCAAAATGACTTTGATTTGTACTATTCCTGGGGGAAGGAGAGTAGTGCACAGCTCTTCTCTACTGACGCTGATGACAGAAGATGGCATCATGGTCTGCCAGGAGATGGTTGCCTTTCTTCTTTGTAGAAGCTGTTCTCTGCTGTTCTATACTGTTCTCTGCTCTCCTGTTTATTTCAAGCCATGGTGTAGGAGATTGCTTTTACTATCTGCACAAACTCTGCATGTTACCACTTAGTCCTGCAGTAGAGGAACTTCTATACAATAACTACGTGTGATGTAGAATTTGCATACTTGAATTTTCTTCAGCTGTCCACAGAGCACAGATTATCTTTAAAAGGGCAGTTAAATCCTAAATTATTTCTTCCATTTTTGCCACTAAGAATTTAGAAACGCTCTCAGCTTAAGTCATCTGTGGTTTGGCCTTAACTTTTTTTCTAATCCATATTTTAAGTTTAAGGTTTTACTCCATATGTGCATGCATCTTTTCATTATATACAGAGATAGGTTTTCCTAACACCCAAATGTAGGATTTATACCTTTTTAAATTCTGATAGAATTTCCACTTATTTTCTAATAATTTTTATTGTTAGTAAATCATTGATATGGCTTTAAAAATTTAATGAAGAAAATTAAAAATGAAAAAGAAACTCTTCTATTACTGATATAAAGATTAAAATGTATTTTTCTTTTCATTATCCACCATGATAATTGATGTACAAGTGATTATATATATATATATATATATATATATATATACACACATACCCTAAAAGCAATGCTGATAAAGCCTGAAAATAGAAAACAAGCCTTCATTTTTCTGATAAATCATTATCTATATCACTCATCAAGTTCATAGGATTCAGAGCAAGGACATATATGGAAATATTATGAGATATCAATATTAAAAACAAGTATAAACAGTTATATATTAAAACTGAAAAAGGACGTAACAGTATAACAAATACTCATTGAATTATATTCCTTCTTATCCATGACAAATAGGACCACAGAACATACAATAATAATTTATTTCCAGTCAGCTTCACTCATTATGTGCTCTTGACAAGAGCTGTAAGAAGTTGTCTTAGAAAATGTATAATATGAATGTGACAATGGAAACTTTGTTACAAAAGCTGCATGTATATATGTACACACGTACACATATGCACTTACATACTTACAGACACATATCTAGACACACACAAACACACACACACACACACACACACACACACACATTTGTTCAGAGCCTACTAAGCTTACTTCTTGCCTGTGACAAATAATCAAAGTTCATCAATCAAAATGGATACCCCACCAGACATGGTGGTCCACACCTCATTTTGCAAGATCTCCATAAGTTCAAGGCCAGCCTGATCTAGGTCTATATTATGTGCTACAGGTCACCCATCAGGGCTACACAGTGAGATCCTGTTCCCTCCAAAAAAATGATTGATGCTTACATATTTTTTATCCATTTGTATGTTTTATTATTCTAAAAGCTACAAAAATTTTCTAGCTATAACTTACTGTGAATGCAATATAAATTGCTTTTACTATTTTGCTATTTAACTTTAGGGTTATAATTCCCTCCAATAGAACAACACCATTTTTTCAGATTAAAGTTTACTAAGAACAGGAGCATACAGAGAGATGATAAAAACATTAAGTTATGATTGAATAGATTGTAACATTACTTAGATAATTATTAGGTATATAATAGCACTGCAATGTATTTAGAACAAGGAATATGATGTGAAATTTGAAATCTTGAAATTTAGAAACATTATTATTTAAATCTTGTTCTTGAGACGTGCAGTTTTCTAAGGTTGATGAATGTTTTCAAGTTTATCTCTCGAGTCTCCTGTGCATCTGCCAGCAAGTGTTGCTCATCTACACTGCTTTCCTGATGTCTTTCCATCTGTGACTTATCCTTGACTTTCATAACAGTATTCTTGTCCATTTACAGAGTGGATTGCTTTAGAGTGGCTCCATCTTCATGATTAACTCTGATGACTTGTTTGTTTTCTCTTCTAGGTGGTAGAGACTAATCTGGTTGCTTTTGACTGTCACTGGATCATTATAAATGAGGTAAAGCCACCCCACCTCTGCTATCATCCACCACTTTTTCAGATATGGAGTTTCAGAAGGCCTTCACCTATAAGAGGGAGCAAAAGTAAAGGTTCAGTGTACTGCGTGAATGCTTTCTAATAAAAATAGAACCCAGGGTTTTTTTTTATCTGAATTAAATAAATAGAAAAAGCCTTCCCTACTGAGTGTCTTTTAGCTTTTTCTCTTGCATACACTGCCTACTTACAGAGATCATCTTTATGAAAAGTTCAGTTTTTCTTTGTAAGCAATGTGAATTTCCCTCAGGGAAGAGGCTGCATTCCATTTGTATTGTAATGTCTTTTTTAAAACTTTCATATATATCTCCCTACCTGAGCATTTAATGGTTCAGGATGAACATGAATCAACAAAGAACAGATTTTTTTTCACAAAGAAATACAGCTGTTTTAAAAATCCAAAGACTTGTCAAATGTCTTTAGAAAGTTTTCCTAACATTTTGCAAAGCCAATATAAAGGATTAAGAGTATGTTACAATCTAAGAAAGTTGTTTTCTTAGCATTTGCTGGTCAAGATCAGCAAAAATAGTAACAGACCAGACCTAGACAAATAGTATTACTGCACCTGGTAACAAGATATGTACTCAAAATGGTGTGTTGTCTAATCCTACCTATTAGTTATCAATAAACAGGGTATTATTTATGTACCAATGACGTTGACAAGAGTATAAAATGATAAAATTCTTGGGGGACAGCTAACACTTCTGAATAAAAATTTGGTTTTGCAGTCAACAAAATAGTTTTTACCTTGCCTTGTTATCAGTTACAGCAGAGTTATTGTATAAACTGACAACATGACCTCTCCTTAGGGTGGTTAAATGGAAGGTTTTTAGTGGAAATGTGAGAGAAACAAAAAAAATAAGATGTTGACAGCATGTGCCATTTAGAACAGCTATTGCTTTTATCTGAACCAGAAAGATCTACAAAGAATGAACATGTTTGCAAGGAAAAGTTTTATCTGCCAATACATGCAAGGTCAGCTTTTTCCTTCTATCCAATTTCACTCAGGCACCTCAATTTCTTGATGTTCCCTTCAGGAAATTTGACCTAAATCCTTCTCTTGCATTTTTCCAAGCTTATGATAAAAATTAATAGAAGAATTATAATTTACTCCAATTTCAATAAAAGGAGAAAAACATATATTTTTCAAATTTGCTAAGAAGTCGAATATCTCCCAAAAAAACAGACCTTCACCAATATGCAAATGCCCATTTAACTGAACATGGAGAAAGTAATTATTGTGTAGTTCAGTTTGAGTAACTATGGTTTTGCAGCTAATTTTAATACAGGTGGCAAACATTTATTTAATCTTGTTGCACCAATAGTTTCACAAAGAGGGATTATAAATCAAAGCTGGCATTGTGCATTATGGCATGAATTGTAGAAACATGGAAACAATATATTTTGTTTTAATTTTTACAAAGTGTGTTGTACTAATGAGAGCTGTGGTAACTCACAGGGAAGAATCTGTTATAGTAGGGTGCTTGTTGGTTCCCAGCTGTTCAGCCTGAAATAATCACACAGAAACTATATTATTTAAATCAATGCTTGGCCCATTAGCTCTAGTTTCTTATTGGCTAACACTTACATCTTAATTCAACCCATCTCCAGTAATTGTGCATTACCATGAGGTCATAGCCTACAAGCAAAGTTTCAGTGTGTCTGTCTCCATCAGCCATTCCATGGCTACTCCCTTACTTCACTTTTCTTCCAGCATTCAGTTTAGTTTTCCCTGCCTACCTAAGTTCTGTCCTATCAACAGGCCAAAGTGTTTTCTTTATTCACAAATTGTATTCTCAGCATACAGAAGGGAATCCTATATCACCTCCCCATTTCTGTTTAAAGAAAAGGAAGGTTTTAACTTTAACATAGTAACAAAACAGTTATCAAGCAAGAATTACAGTTATAATATTTATATCTACTTTATCTTTTATCATAACTAAGGAAGACAATAAATGTAACTACAAATTCTTCAACTCCATCAAAGACTACAGAAGAATATAATATTACCTTAGTAAACAGAAAATCCATTGTCAGAAACTTCCAAAACTCTAGAATTGACAGGGACATCTTGCTGCTTAGAGAGTCACCCAATGTTCTTCTGCATTGTAGGGGCATCCATCTTCAGCCTACAGGCCCATAATATCTAGCAGATTTTTCCATGAAGCATGAAATTTCAAAGACAGTTCCGCCTGTATTGGCTGTTTGTTAGTCACTTTCTTCTATGTCCTCCAGAATGTCTGTCAGACTCTTCTATGAAGTAGGAACTCCAAAGGACTGTCTCACCTTTAGGCAAGTTCAGCAGTCATTTTTCTATGAGTTCTGCATGTCCAGTTCATCAACTAGTTCAGGCAAGAACAGTTTCTTGTCCAAATGACTAGCCAACTCCATAAGGGGCCTCTTTGATGCCCATCTTACTCTTGAAGTAGATTAGAACTGTCAGAAGCATAATATGGGTCTCACTGTTATGAAAAGTCCTAAGTTCTTACACATTTTAAATGCCATATTCTGAAGGTCTCTGAAAGATGTGAAGAATTACCTATCTACCTGAAATATATCTTTATATATCTAGAAAGCCTAACTAAAATGACTATAAACTTGACTATTATAAATGATTCTCTATTAATCTATATTTCTTAATTATACATTACATTTTAAATGAGCTGTACAAACACAATACCTTAATCAAGAGCAGAAATATATAAAACAAAATTGAAATTAAATTTGTATCACTAAATCAAGATCTATACCAATGCAAAGTATCCATCTCTATAGCATATATCCCTTGAAATATAAACACTCATTTATAAACAATATTTGGGAATATGGGCATAATTCTCTAAACTACATTCTGCTGATTGGAGCACTGTTAATTATGTCTTTAATGGTGTACCTAGTGTGTTAGGTTCATCTCTGTCAGCAATTGAGCAAAGTAATTATTTGGGGGGTATTCACAGCAATCTTTCAGGGGCTCTTCGTACATCAAACCACATTAGTCTGAAAGTATTCTACAGGTTTTCATCCTCTGTAGAAACAAAAGAAGAACCTCTTTACCAAAGCAACATATCCTTAGACCCAAAATTTGAAGACAAAATACCTTTAAAGTACATATGTTGGTTACTTAGCTTCTTCACAGTCAAAAAATTCAAAGAAATTAAGAAAAATCTTAATTTAACCCATCTCCATTTATTTGTGCATCACCATGAGGTTGTGTGTAGGAGGAGGCTGCTTGTTTATCCTGGCCACCAAGAACCAAAATAACCACACAGAAACTATATTAATTAAAACACTGCTTGGCCCATTAATTGAATTTCTTATTGGCTAACTGTTATACTAATTTAACCCAGTTCTACTAATCTTTAGATCGCCACATGATAGTGGCTTACAGGCAAAGATTTGGCATGTCTGACTCTGGCAGATTCCATGGTGTCTCTCTCTCTCTCTCTCTCTCTCTCTCTGCCTTCTTTCCCCCAGCATTCCATCTTCCCCACCTACCTAAGTTCTGCCTTGTCAAAAGGCCAAGGAAGTTTATTTATTCGTTAATGGTAATCACAACAAACAGAGGGGATTCCCACATCAGCTGTAGCCTACCAGGAAAGTTTCAGTGTGTCTGTCTCTGGTGGCTATTCCGTGGCTTCTCCCTTACTCTGCCTCCTTTCTCCCAGCATCCAGTTTAGCTTTCCCCACGTACCTAAGTTCTTCCCTATCAACAGGCCAAGGCAGTTTCTTTATTCACCAATGGTATTCACAGCATACAGTGGGGAATCCCACATCATCAATCAGTCAAGTTAGAACTTGGTGATGGCATTTCTATTCTCCCTACAGTGGATTCACCTCACAGCAGACTTTCCATATCAGTGAAAGGCTAACTTTAGGCCCCTAAAGCAAATGACTACAACAGTCAAAACATAGATAGGAACTCATCTGGTTCTCATGCAATGCTTCACACACTCCTGTATCCCCAATGATGCTAACACTGGCCTTCAATGCCTCATATTATTCAATGACCTAAACAAGTTTAAGCCAGTATTTTTTACTCAGTGAGGATGGAAGATAAATATGTTAAAGACAAAGCCTTTATTTGGTGGTTTCAATTCTTATTTTAAAATTTTAATAAAAAATATTTTAAACATTGAAAATAAATATATTTAAAACACATATATTGAACTGTTTCCGTAGTTAGATAATGAATTGAACTCTATATTTATAATTAAACAAGAAATTAATTACCATTATGTTTCTCTCCCTTCTGATTTTATTTCAGATTCCAATGTAGTGTTTTCAAATTTGCTTCATGTTAGTGTTGGACTTTCTAAAAATGTCACAGGGTCATCTCTGCTACAGCACAAAGAACACAAACATAATAGAAAAAAATGAAACAGCTTTTCAAATTGCACTACAGCAAACTGCGGCATCTCATTAGTGAAATTTACTATGTCAGGATTATTTATCATTTTCAATGAATCCTTAGGAACTAATATAAAATTTCAGCTATTGATTCTATTAAAGGATGGTTTAGAAAGCTTTGCCATTGGTTTATGCAATAAATTTCTCTTTTCCAGAATTTGCTGAATACTTTCTGTGATCCAGGAACTTTATTAGATGTGAAAAGATAAAAGAGAGAGAAACAGGGAGCAAACAGAAAAGAGAGTTAATAATCTATTTTTTCTGAAATAATTAATACAGTTCAGATTGTCAACTTATTTAATAGATATTGAAAGTCTTCCCATACACAATTTCTATTAATTTCAACCTGAAGTTGACCTACCTCAAGGTTTCAGGAATGACTAAATTAAATTCTAAAGTATTTGTTCTGGGCAATATCTGTTTCTGTGTTCTTCTCAGGTAACCTTTGTCTTTTCCCATGGTGGGCTTTACATGGATCAGAGTCCAGGCTACATTAAACTATGAGTGTAAAAGTAAATATTTACTTGGACATATCAGTTCAACTTTTAATAATTTATGATTATTATTAATTAGTCTTTGTAGAAATAATGTTGTGCTTTGTTCTTAACGAAGTAAAACTGAAAAGTCACCTGTTTGCTTTTGTTGCAGTATTATTATTGTATATTCATAAATATATGTAAGCAAAGGAAACAAGGGCAATGTTAGAATCCTGATTCTTCATAGTATTTAAAATCAGAATATTTCTGTATCCCATTATAGAAATTAATTAACATATTTGATGTGTTGGGACCTCAAGGAACATTCCTTTTCCATAGATTAGTTCTTCATGGGACTGGTTTTAAAATCTTACAATTTAAAGAATATAAAAAGAATAGAGCATTGAAGAGCCTGTATGCACAAGAGTTTGATATTTTAACACAGCCACTCACTGAGGGAATTGTTTTTCCTGTTTTGCAAGCACTTATGGTTTAGATTGATCGATCATTTGTCATTAAATGTTTGTATGATTTTGTGTTGCCACTCTGGAAGTGCACCTTCTGTAGAGCAACAGAACGTTCCAGTCATATGAAGTATGTCCCGCTTAGGTGGCCACACCAGCCTGAAACTGTGTAGGAGGTCAGGTGGCAAAGCTACAACTGGAAGTAAAATGTCTGTTTCCCACAGAATGGCAGATGCTTTTCTCCCTGAAAATGATTTTCATTCTCCTTCCTCAAATAATAACATGCAAAATTTGTTCTATTCAAATTGGCATTTCTTCAGATTTACTTGAAGCTAGACAACTGAGAACTTTATTTTATGGAGCATTTAGATGACAGCCACCTCCTTCTGCATTCAGAAACAGACCTGAAGGAGGGTTTGTCTCCAGATGGAGGGTCTTAGGAGGCGTCTTGGACAGTGGATCTTATTAATTTAAAACTATCGGCCAATAAATGCTGACATAACATGTATTTATTATCTTTATTGCCATCATCATTGAATATTAATCTAAATGATTCCTGTAAGGAATTGTGGCTTCTTATGTAATTAGTGTACATCATTTCTTTTCTTTTATATGTCATTTCTAAAATCTTATATGAATAAAAAACTTTGAATCTCCTTGAGTCTTATTTATTGAATGTTAGTAAACAGTGATTCAGCACCATTTTTTTAGAAGAAAATGGGGTGACAGTTAAAAGAATAAACAGGGATTTATAATCTACAGATTTTCACTTTGATATGCTGACTTGTAGTTCATCACCATGTGAGGTAAGGTTGCAGATGGTAGTGTTTGATAAGTTTAGGTAAATAACTTATTTGCTTAAGAAATAAGAATGAAATATTAACATTATTTTTTAAAATTCACTGTATATTTTACTACCTTCTAGGAAACTCTCTTGCTGTACAATATGCTGAAAAAATGTGGTGCAGCAATATTGGTGCTTATGCCCTTTAAAATATTCCAGATTAATATCAAATATGAAAATAGAATTGGCCAGACACTGTCTAATTCTGCTTTGTGAGCAGATAATGGAAAATTCAAAGTACCTAGCTTTTACCAGACAAAGTTGAGGTGGCCAGTGAAATGATACAGACTAGGGGAAAAGATGGCATTTAAACTGCTGAAAGCAACTGTTTCTGGTGCACTGAGGATTAGTCACCTAGAACTTCCTGATGTTTCTGTGCATACAGCTGATGGCAGGTGCTATTTTATTTTTAGAAAAACCTATATTTCATAAAGAACATACATAATGGGTGAGTTTTCTGGTTAACATACCACCAAGAATGATAATTTGTAATAGGCATGCTAAAGGACAGAAAGAAAATGAGCACTTGTAGGTGCCTGTTTCTCTTCGTCATCCAGTATTGGTTCCTTGGATGTGCGGGAATGCACAGCACAGTCCATAACTTATCCCATGTCAAATAATTTATTTTCATTGCATGAGAATTGATTCACAGCAATAATCTGTATGTCACAAAAGTTTCATGGGCTTAAAAGTTTCCAAATGGACATGATGGAGCACATGTTGCTTTAGTAAGGACTGCTGGGAAACTGAAATTTGTGTTTGTCACTTTTGTTCTAATTCCAAGGAACACACACACATACAAAACATTATTATTTCTTATTATTTCTATGTCTGTTATTGGGCCTAATCTTCATATCTAATTTCAAAATGTGCGCGTATGGGGCATAAAGGATGCATTCTTAGAGTTCTGCAAGCACACATACACAAAGCCAAATTTATTTACATAGTGCTAGGTTTTATTGACATGGTTCACTCCATGCTAATCAACAGAACTTTGTACATTTATTAAACAACCACAGCAAGAAGATAATTCTTTCATCAGTAGTTACTGAGTACCCATTCCTTTCAATAAGAAACATATGTGGACATCAGTATAAAGATACTTTAAAATAGTGCATCCTTCTAATGTCTTTGCTTAATTTGTATAAAACCATGATTATTATTTTATTATTTTTTGCTAAGAGCAACATGGATCATTCTTAAATTGCATATCCCTTCCTAGGTACACATAATATCTTGAAATATATTAATGAATCATAAGCTATAATTGAATCTTATTTTGTGAACTTTCAATATTTTCTCTTATGCTTTCAGCTTAAATAGCTATTAAATTACTTTTGATAAAGCATATCAAAGCTATTTGGTCCATGTAGACTTGTTTAGGTATCCATGTTCATAATTTAAAGCCACAGAAAGCAAATATGAATGAATTCACCATTTTGATAAATGCACATAACTTTCGTTTGAATGCTAGCTAAATATGAAGCAGCTGTGTTAGGGTAGCATATTCCTTTTTACCTCCAGATAACTGGTCAGCAATTCTTTTCTGTTTCTGCTACTATATTTAAGAATCTGCTAATCCTTCCACTTCTTTTCTTTCAGGAAATAAATGATGTGGATGTCCAGGAACTTGTCAGAAGGTCCATTGGAAGGTTAACAATTATTCGGCAGACATTTCCAGTTCCCCAGAATATAAGCCAGCGCTGTTTCCGTGGCAACCATCGAATCTCTTCAACACTGTGTGATCCCAAAGATCCCTTCGCTCAGAATATGGAGGTCTGTACTAAAGGGCGGAGTGTGTCCCCCAGGGAGCATGTTTAGGGGCCTGGGATGACATCTCTGAGTGACACCAGACAGGGGTGGCATGCATTATTGTTCTTGGGCAGGTTCGCTCCGTTGGCATCTAAGTGCCTTTGATAGGGAGTGCAAAGAGCCTTTGTCTTTGATCCTTTTGATCCTATTGTTGAAAATAATGCCCACTTTATTAATAAAAATACAATAAGTAAATCTTACTTCTTTCTAAGTAAGCAGATACAGGGCATTTTCTGGAGTAGGGACTGTGATTGACACCCAAGGCTGCACTTCAAAGTATTAAGTGAATAGATTTGCTTGAATTCCATGCATAAAAGACATAGATATTTATTCTCTTTTAAAAGAATCTCTAGGTTGAAGACCTTCAACTTTAAAACAGAAAAAGAAAAAAAAACATTTAAAATTCATATGTGCTGTGGAGCTATCATTTGTGGAAAGCAGAGAACATTAAAGAGCATTTGCCTAAAATTATAACCCTTTGTTTAGTTAACTGTCCCCACACTTAGTATATAGGCAGGGGATGTAGAGACACCCCCTCCTGCCTTAACCACTTCTTCATTTTGTTCTCAAATCCACAGATGAAAGAGAACAAAACAATTAAGGGTTTTTTTTTTTTGGAGGGGGGAATAGTTTGCTACACACTAACATACTTGTTATATATGATAGAATTATACTAAATATTTGCTAGCTGAGAAGGAAAACTAACAAACATTTTTTTTAAAATTTATTTCTGTTTTTTTATCTCTCTTACAATACAATATTGCAGTTTCCCCTCTCTTCTTATTTGGGAAGATTTGCATAAATATGAGTATGAATTCAGAGCTCTTGAGTTTAAAGCATTTCACTGAAGACAGAGGACTTTCCTCCACCCTTCCTAAGTCTAAAGCTTCATCTCATGATAGTTAGAAAAAGCAACTGAATCGAATGATCCTTTGCATGAAATTCTCACTGGGTTCTCACTGGCTGATGGTTGAGGAGTGAAGAGCTCCTTAGGAAAAGAGGCCTGCTCAGCTTAGCTCTGTGAAGCACCGCAGGAGAGTGGGACCACAGGTTTATCTCAGCGTTCTGCAGTGTCTGCTTAAAAGTAGGGCTTAAGAACACAGTGTGCAAATAGGACCCAGGTGTTCACCAAAGCTAGAAACTGGATTCGCCGTCATGGTGATCCACATGCTGAGAGAAGGTGAGGAACCAAGGACCTGGGAGGTGGTCTCCTAGCTAAAGCCTTTTAAATGGATTCAGAAAGGCTAGATAAGTTTGGAAAGCACTGAAGACAAATCCCATGAACCTCAAATTAGTAATCAAACACCGAATAATCCAAGATTAGCTGAAGTTGTAAAATGAGTAACAGTGACAATGTGAGCAATGGAGTTTGAGAAAAGCAGCCCTCTGTGTGCACTGAGGCTTTCTTAGATTGGGTGCTAATGAAGAAAACAAAGAAGGTTCCCTACATTTTTTTCCAAGAAAAACTGTCTTCCAATTGATAGTGTTAAGGCTGAGAATGCAACTTAGGAATAAAAAGCTGACTTTACACAAGAAAAAGTCATTACAAAAAGTACTTCAGTGCATTAGAAAATACACAGGATTGGAGATGTTAAGAGTTTACCTCAGTGCTTTAACAAGACTTGCTAAATCATGGAGGAGCATTCAGTAACCTAGCAGATGTGATCACAATGTCACTGTATTGTAATTGAGGAATAAAAAGGAAACTGTGACAAGAGGATCAAAGTCCCAGAGATAGACTTATAATTACAATTTTCACAGCAAAGTAGGGCAGCTCTTGTAAGATTAGTATACTAAATTTTAATAGTCTGCAATACTAATCATTTTTATATAAGTTATAGAATATGTTAGGAGATGCTTTGTATACTTTACATGGGAAAATAGGGCTTTCTTTAGAACAAATAAGATCAAAATAAATCGTCTTGAATAGTTTTTTAATCTGCTCGCTGTGTTGGAAGATTACCAGTGTTACTCATTACATTTTGGATTTATATAATGTTGGCAATTTTCTCAGAAATCACTAGGGAAACTTTGACAAGTACAGCAAGGCAGCTATCACTCAGACATTATCAATACTCAGGTTAAAACACCAGTAAATTCAGTCAGTAGAAAAAGTACAAGGGTTAAAAATATTATCGTGTAGCTCCTTTTAAAAGTTATAACATTAAAGATGAAATAAAATTAAAGTATTTCAAATAATCTGTCCACAAAACTATGTTTTCTCCTCTAAGCCACTGAGTGAAATTTAATTACCTACATTTGTCTACCACGTCTCTAAGATTTGATCTACCTAGAACACACTTTAAATGAATTCTGTGGCACTGAGTACATTCTGTTGTCTATAGTCTGCCACCAGCTGCTCTCTTACTGTCAGTTTGAGAAGTGTAGAATCAGAACCTTCAAGCTTGACTAGGCGAACATCCTCTCCATGGTCATTCACAAGCTTCTGTCCGTCAACTTAATTCTCCAAGTGTCAATCTTCACTTGAATAAAATTGTAAAAGACATAAACCTATAAGAGAGAGATTAATAACATTACATAATCAAGGTCAATATTGTTAGTATTGACTTGTAATAATCCTTAAGGTGGAAACTCCATAGAAATAAAGTAGTCCCACAGCCAATTACATACAATCTAGGTGGAAGTGCCTTGGTCTGACAGCTGCTCAAAATTGTTACTTTGAAGGCGAATTCAATCTGATCACAGTACAAGTCAAGTCGGCTGTGAAGCACTTTAATACAGTCTCGGACACTGTGTCAAAAGCACTTTGCCAAGATCAAGAGAGAGATCGTCTCCCACTTGCATCTCCTAGGCAGCTCAATCTGCATGAATGTGTCAGTTCTAGTTACTAATCTTCTTATGGAAAGGAGAAACAAGAGACAGACAGAGGAAGATATGTGACATGACAAGCAGCCTAGAAACTGTACATGGCAGTAGTCAGCAGAAGGGCAGAGGGTATTCTAGGGCAAGTGGCAGATGGCTCCTGGAGGTTTGCTGGCATCAGAGAACAAACGTTGTGGCAGGAAAACTGTAAAGAGTCAGTGAATAGGTTTTGGGAGAATGGAGGCTGGAGTGCAAGATTCTTAGATTTGGAATGCACTGTAGTTTAAGATAGTCATTCATGGGGAAGGTATGAATGCGTGTACAAAACTAGAAATCGCCTTTTTAAATGCTGAGAAGCAGCTCGGCATCACAGTGTGGGTGGAGTCAAAGATCTCATAAAGGAAGTGACGATAAGGTCAGTAGATGGTGTTAGAAAGGAGATGAGAGCTCATGAGACTCGAAGGAGTCTGGGTACCTGCTTGAGAAAGAAGAAACAGACTAGGAAAACGAGCAGGTCAGAAAAGTTCAGCACACATTTCTGGCCCAGCTGGTTGCAATGTGGACAAATGGAGAGAAGCGGTTAGGGATTGAAGACAGCTATCACATGTCAGTATCAAAGCATTTGCCTTCATGATGAGCATGGCTACTCAGAAAGCAAGCCTTAGGTATGAAAAAAAAAAAAATACTATCTGACTAAAGTGTCAGATATGGCAAAATCCTGGCAAATTTCTCACATCTTCTGTCATATTCACCTTTTTTCTTTTTATCATTTTTACTTATTTTGATTATTGTTCATCAGAATCCAAGTATGTTCTAGTCTGTTTGGCAAACAAAAAGGAGATAAAAATGAATAAATGATGATAGATAGATAGATAGATAGATAGATAAGAAACCAAAAGTACAGAAAAGAAAGCACATACAGCATGTATCTCCATTCACAATTTTGGAAAAAACTTAACCCTATATCAATTTTTAATAGAGGGATGAACAGAGTTCTTGGAACCACAAAAAGGATGACTGTGTCATGAACTTCAGGGGAGGAGAAGCCATTGTCTTCAGGGACTGACATGGTTTCCCCTGCTTCAGTAGATAACCTCATGCCATGTATAAAGAATGGTTCTAGTTAAACACAGTGAATCAAAGAAGGAACAGAAATGGAATAGGCGGTTGAGGACAGTAAGAGGATGAGTCATCTGGATAGAGAAAGATAACAGAGTGTGGAAGCTTTAGTAGAGCTAGGTATGCATTACGTTCCCTTATGAAACTATCATGCAGCAAATTACTTTTTCAATAAAGGACTGCCTATATCATAGGACAAAAGAAAGAATTATCAGCGAAGGAGTCTCTTCTGCTGTGTAACCTTTGAAGAGAAACGAAGGAATTTAATTCAGAGAAAGAAAAGGCACATGGAAGGACTCTCTCACTCCATCTCACATGAACACTTAAAGCAAAGGGAGAGGCGAATAGAGATGGCGATGGAAGCAGGTGTTAGGAGGCACGGGACAGGCTGGGAAGCAGGTGTGAGGAGGGCACAGGACAGGCTGGGAAGCAGGTGTGAGGAGGGCACAGGACAGGGTGGGAAGCAGGTGTGAGGAGAGATACAGAACAGGATGGGAAGCAGGTGTGAGGAGGGGTGCAGGACAGGGTGGGAAGCAGGTGTGAGGAGGGGTGCAGGAGAGGGTGGGAAGCAGGTGTGAGGAGAGATACAGAACAGGATGGGAAGCAGGTGTGAGGAGGGGTGCAGGACAGGGTGGGAAGCAGGTGTGAGGAGGGGTGCAGGACAGGGTGGGAAGCAGGTGTGAGGAGAGATACAGGACAGGATGGGAAGCAGGTGTGAGGAGGGGTGCAAGACAGGGTGGGAAGCAGGTGTGAGGAGGGGTGCAGGACAGGGTGGGAAGCAGGTGTGAGGAGGGGTGCAGGACAGGGTGGGAAGCAGGTGTGAGGAGGGGTGCAGGACAGGGTGGGAAGCAGGTGTGAGGAGAGATACAGGACAGGTTGGGAACCAGGTGTGAGGAGGGTGTAGGACAGGCTGGGAAGCAGGTGGGAGGAGAGATACAGGACATGCTGAGAAGCAGGTGTGAGGAGAGATACAGGACAGGTTGGGAACCAGGTGTGAGGAGGGTGTAGGACAGGCTGGGAAGCAGGTGGGAGGAGAGATACAGGACAGCTTGAGAAGCAGATGTGAGGAGGGTGTAGGACAGGCTGGGAAGCAGGTGGGAGGAGAGATACAGGACAGGTTGGGAACCAGGTGTGAGGAAGACACAGGGTAGGCTGAGAAGGGCACATTGTTGCAAGTTATTTTGAAAACTCTGCCAAAAGATTGACATAGGCTATTGGATATGACTCGCTCATCTTTAATGTGTCTTTAATATTTTTCCTTTTGGTTCCTTGCAGTGTTCTTCTGACATAAATTTGGATTCATAGGCTACTTTTAGCTTCAGCTCTCACACCTCATTCATAATAGATTTTAGCCAATCTCACCTAGTTCCTCCAATAATTCTCCGTGTGGGTGATAGTAACAGCAGCCCACCCCAGTAGTTACTTATAAGAAACATTTCAGTCTCACAGAGTAAACAAGCATTTTCCAAACCTCTTCAAAGAAATGCCCATGTCTACTAGTGTGAGCTTCTATTATGTCACACATAAAAAGATGCCTAACAAACAAAGATGATTAAAGATTCTCTGAGATGTGAGGGGAAACCCACAAGGCATTACCGGGAAGTTCTGTCTAACAGCTATGCATAGCATCAAATTCAAATTATCCCAATGGTTGGCTCTCTGAAGCACTCCGTAGTGTTCCAGGACGACATTGTCAATTTCCTTCTTGACTAGTTACAATCACTGACAATCCTCTTAGCCGCTCCTTGGTTTTCAGGAAGGAAAAATTTTGATGATGTAACATTTCTAAACCTGGGAACGCCAGAGGGCTTCAAGGTGAAATGAGTTTCTATCACTACCTCTCTTGCTCACTTAGATTTTACATCAAGTTTTCCTTCTGAGATGCAAGAATGTAACTTTTGACAACTTTTATTGACTTCTTACCTCTTTTCATATTCATTCTTCCTGAATAAATTCTAATCTCTTTTTAAAAATTAGGCAGCTTTGGTAATTAATTGATAATGTAGCTCTGGAAAAAGTTATTTAAGGATTGCCATAGATAGATCTTGGGGAAAACTCAGCTGTAATTTGGTTGCTGATCGAAGTAGAAAAACTTGTGGTTCCTGTAGACCAAACAGTAACAGCACACAGGCACAAGCTACAGGTTGGTTATCCCAACAATGCATCAGAGTGTCTATGGATCAGCACAGAACTTCATATGCATCTAGACATTCTGACTGCGAATGCTTTTGGTAACTGTCCTTCATGTTTACAAACTTTTCCACAAGCACACAAACGTGACTGCTTCCCTCCGTGGGTCCTATGTCACTCATGGAAGATCAGAGTTGATGCAACATTGATAGTTGATTCCATAGGAATAACCAAAATTTAGAGACTTGACATATTGAAAAAAATTATTATTCAGTGTCCCTTCCCATCTGAATCTCTTGGATGTCTGCCTCTTTAGAGAGCAATAAAGACCTCTAATGAATGACAGATTTTCTAAGAAATGAGACTGAAAATAGCCTTGCCTCTGTCAAAGCTACTTTTTTTTTTTAATCTTCTCTTTTATACCAAATAATCTGGGAAAGCAATTGAGGTATACAGAAGGATAGACCTTGTTCTAGTGGCAAAACAGCCTCAGGAACAAAAAGAGAGACGTTCTGTTTGGTAAGAAACTCAGTGAGCATGAGCCAGCTGCTGAGCTGCGCCCTCTCCATGTGGATGTCTGGAGTGGAGGGTCTGATGAGCGCTGTCTAATGTCTTTCCAGATTTCTAACCTTTACATCTATGACACGGTGCTTCTGCTCGCAAATGCTTTCCATAAGAAGCTGGAGGACCGCAAGTGGCACAGCATGGCGAGCTTGTCCTGTATCAGAAAAAACTCAAAGCCCTGGCAGGGAGGGCGGTCCATGCTGGAAACTATCAAGAAGGTAATTATCCGTGTGCAAACTGCACTGCTCTGCACGGTCGGGCAAAGCTGGCAGAGGTGTGTGCGGCCAGGTGTCTCTCACAAGTTTGTTTCCTTTCTTACTGATTCTCCTGCAAACTCAGATGCAGTGTTTATAAAAGACAAAGACATATAGTAAAAAGAGATCTTATTTCTAAGATCAATTATGCAAAAAGAAAACAGGAGTGTGTGAAATTTAAATTGCCATGTTGTGCCTTTAGGGTAAAAAAAACAAGGTTTTTGGTTTGTTTATTTTTTAATATTACAATGCACAAGACATTGTTTCTTTGTCCTTTGATGTATCGACCACACCGTCAGCTGAAAACTCTCACAGTAGGTTCCATGGTTTCTCATTTGAGTAACACAAGATAAGCCACTGGGTGTGAGGATATTTATCTTTACAAAAGACATGATTCATAAACAGTTAAGACGCTGCTGCATTGTCAACTATTTGGTAACCAATTGTATCCTTCTTCTTCACTGTCACTGTGTGGCCTGCTGGGGTGGGAAACCTGCTCCATCCCCAGAAGGCGGTTCAGGCCATTCATCTTTCCTCAGTGGTAAAGGAACACCGCAGTTGATTAGCCCCTTTGTCATGTCGTCCTTGCTGACATTCTCCGTTTGTCTCAGGAAGCTTCTTTGATTTAAAGCAAAATGATTAATAAAACAAACAAATTTCTCCAGTACCCTTTACACAAGGAGACAGAGCCATGAGGAGGTTTATGTTGTTTACCTTACCCATCCTTTCCCTTTCCTCATATGTTCGCCTTTATTTTCTGTAACAGAAAGGAAAAATGGATAGCCGTTTGAAATATGCACACATTTAGAAAAGACAGAAAAATGTTTGAAGAAAATATTTAGCATTGGGAGTAAAATGAATGCACAAAGCACAGGAAGTGAAGGGATGAGCTCTTTCAGAGGGAGAAGAGCCTGATGTTTCTGTTGCTACCATTTCCGCTTTACCATTTACTCTCACTTGGCTAAGAATTCAGGCGTCTACCAAGTTCTAAAGAATTAGATGTGTCGAACACACTGGCAGAGGAACAGGGTTTTTGTTGTTGTTGTTGTCATTGTTGTTGTAAGTGAATAAAGCAAATAGAAATTAAGGTGTTGCCAAAATCTCCTGACTCCATCTCCGTAGACAGCTGGCAAGTGTGACTCCAAGGGATGTTGTTGAACCAGAGTCTGATCTGCCAATTTATTAATTCATGATTTGAAAAGGACACAGGAATCTGCACCTATCTTTTCTCTTTCAACTTTCTCACAAAGAGGGAACTGTGGCCTAGGGCGCTGCTTAGGAGATGCCTCCTCAGTGGGACTAGCAGTAGGAAGGACAGAGAAACTGTAACATATGGGTGTTTCACTTTTAGCTGATTGAGATGTAAAAAGATACTGTTGTACTTTTATAATTGAAGCAATTATTCAACACAGTAATTATGAAGTATTATCTTGAAGGGCTATTTGCATTTTTACCTGCAAGCATCTATCTCATTTTAAAAGGGGATGCATGAATTTCATGTCCAGGACACTAAGTTTAACCAATAATGATGGTTTGATGTCACATTATATTTTTGTCTTGCAGTTTAAATTGACCTTAAAAGAATGGAATTAATTTTCCTCAATTATATCTTTTCATTTTCCTCTGAATTGAAGTGTTTTGGGTCATCCTATTCCAATGTTGGGAATAATGACACCACACACACCAGAACATTGTGAGAGTGTTGAACTCATATAGCAACTCAGGAAAACAGAGTGGTTGTGGGCAGGTCCACCATACTTAACCAAAGCCCAGGGACTAGTTAACCCTGTTTAGTTGCTGAGAACTGAGGCTGAAGTAATTAACAATGACGCTAGAGACATTTTCCATTAGCATTATAGATGCAGGTGTAGTGTTGACTTTTTTTAGTAGCCTGTCCAGATGTGGAGCCCAAGGGAAAAGGACAGGCAAAGCCTAGTAAAAGAATAGCCGTGCACAGAACAAATGACTTCTGAAATTTTATTATGATGTTAATATTGCAGTGATGCCATTTGGAACTATAGTCATTTGAACACAGTTCATCTATGTCAAAGGCATGTTATATACACTTTGCACAGGTGTACAATACTGGCTCATTTTATATAAAGCATGCAGAGTACAGATAAAAAATAAAAATGATCTTCTGTCCCAAATTAATTATGTTTTCAAGACCAGGATAAAACAAAATCTTTGGAAGATAATTCAGATGACAACAGTATCCAATGAAATGGCAGGATGTCATTCTCGCTGACTCCTGTTTTAGCTCTGAAATCTAGCATTGGAAATGGTAATATATTACAAATAAAAGGGATGTTTGCTAACAGGAGGTAAAGGAAGAATGTAGATGGAAATTTCTGTCCTGTACAGTCAGTCACTAAAAAATACACAAGGCTTATATTAATTATAAGTTGTTTGGTCTATTAGCTCAGGTTTATTACTAACTAGCTCTTACAACTGAAATTAACCCATGATTCTTATCTATGTTTAGCCACTTGACTTGGTACTTTTTCTCAATGCAGCATTTTCATCTTCTTCCTCTGTGTCTGGGTGACGACTGCAGATTGACCCTTTTCTTTACCCAGAATTCTCCTAGTCTGGTCACCCTACCTGTATTCCTGCCTGGCTACTGGTCAATCAGCACTTTATTAAACCAATATGAGTGACAAATCTCTATAGGCTACAAGAGCATTATCCCACAGCAGAACTCCTTTTCTTTCCTACACACTAGAAATGCAGAGTATCCGACTCCATATTTATATATGGTCTTTAAAAGTACTATAAGTTTAAATACTGAACTTTCCACAATATGGCATCTATATTATTCCCTATTTAAAATCAAACCTAAAAGATTTAGATTCTCTTCCATTGTTCCATTGTACTTGGGCCTAATTGTATTTTTTAATGTCCTGTATATGTATTTAAGTGTATGTGTATATATGCATGTATATATATATATATATTATATGTGCGTTTATATGTTTATCTATGTATGTGTGTATATTGTGTGTATATGTGTGTATCTGTGTTTGTGCTGTAACTAAGTATATATATATAAGTTATACATATGTATGTGTATGTATATGTTGTATATATGGATATATATTGTTTGCACATGTATACATCTTTAAATGTTTCCTATGTAAGTGTATTGTATATATATATATGTGTGTGTGTGTGTGTGTGTGTGTGTGTGCTCTGTGTATGTATATACATACAAACATGCTATCATGAATGGAATATGCATTCTATGTAAGGAAGGTTTTGATATTTAATTTTGCTTTGACTAATCTGATAATTTTGCAAACTTCTTATGTGCTTTTCAAGTACATGTAGTATTACTTGCAAAAAAAATTAGCGTTATCACTTTGTCTTCTTAAAAGACGTTAAAACTTTCCTAGCCTAACTGCATTCACTTCCACATGTTTAATTTATATAATACACATTTTCTTACAAAATAAGTCTTTACAGAAATTAAATACATCAGGTTACTACATGCAAAGATATTTTTTTCAAATTTGTAGAACAGAGGATCCTTGTTTTTTATACTTAAAATTCTGATTTTTAGTTGCATAAGTTTAGAGTGATGTAAAAATAACCTTTTTAATCATATTATTCTAGCTTATTTAATAATAATAATCTAACCTAGTTCCCCCAATTTTAAGACATAGAAAGCTAATCTCCAGAAAAGGGAAACACCTTAAAATTTTTGGAATAGCAATTTGTGTTATTATAAAGATCATATCAGTTTTTTATCATGAGAACCTATGTCTAACTGCAGCAATGTGTATCTGTTTAGAAGGAAGGGAACAGGCAATATACTAAATTTGTTGATGTTTCATAACAGATATTGAACATTCATATATGTTTAATTGGCTATATAAAATCAGTAGATATTGACCAGTAATAGAATGTGGAAGAAGATATTCAGACAGACATTAAAGCAGGAACCACAGCTGGAAAGCCTTCTTTAGAACATATAGAAATTATTGTAAACAAGGCAGAACTTACCAGCCCTCTGAAAAATAACAAAGCTGCATCATGCCCTCCCAATAAAGACAGCCTATGCTCATCTGTAGAATCCTCAGTGCTTAATAGTAACCTGTGCCCACTGTTGGCAAGTATTAATATTTTAAGTTTTAAAGATTTAATTGCCTATTTTCTTTTAATTTTTATTATATTTTTTATTTTTGATATTTTCACATGTGTATTACTAAATATAATCATGTACACCTCTCATTTCCTTTCTATAATTCTCATGTATCCTTTACAACATGGCTTCTTCCCTATTCCTGTTTTGTTTTTGTTGTAGTAGTTTTGATAATTCATTATGTACAACTAACTCTGCCCATATGCACTTGAGTGTAGCTTCCCACTGGAGCATGGGAAGCTACGAGTGACAACACCCTCAAAATAAGAATGATTCTTTCCCTTCCACAGCCAGCAGCTCTCAATAGCTCCTCAGGAAGGGGTGGTGCCTGAAAAGCAAAGGCCTCCATTTATGCTGGAATTAGGACTAGCTTGATGCTATGTAAATCTTATGCAGATTTATCCAGCTGCTGTGAAGTAGTTAGTGTGATAACTATGCCATATTCAGAAGACAGAATTTCACAGCTTTCCTCTCCATACTCAGGAAATAAGAGGGATTGATAAACATGTCCCATTTAGGGTTGAGTGAGTAGTTTCTTATTATCAGCACCCCAGTTATGTATCTGTGCAGTGACTGCTACCCCACCACAAAAAGAAGCGTCTCTGCCCAAGTTTGAGAGCAACACAGATACATAGTTGGCCAAAGTCATGTTGTCAAATTACCATCTAGATATGGGCATATTTATAAATATCTAGATGGTAATTTAACAACATGACCATTTAGCAAAATAATAATTGAAGGTTCTATCCTAGGACCTATGACTGTCTTAGGCAGTCAGAAAACATAATTACAGTAGAAGGCATGAGATATTCTCTGATGG